ACTTGTCGGGTAGCAATAAAAAAGTGGTTTAGATGATTAGGTGCCTAACTTAGAAATTCTTACCCTTTGTTTTTGACCGATCAATAAAGAATAGACACCCAGTTCAATACCAGATTCTACAAAGTATACTAGAATACATTTAAGAATTGTTGCAACGTCAGTTTCTTCTAATTTCTTCAAATTATGAGTTCGAATAGATAGAAAAAAGATCGTTAATTTATTATGATAGCGAAGCTGCGCTCAAAGCAATGCATGAGGTTAAACCACGTAGTTACGGGACTGCGTTAGTGCACTGGAGAGATAAGGTTATAAGAGGGGTCAAAGAGCCTCCGTCACCTCGACCTGAAAATATCTATTGTGTCCCGTCTATATTTGTTATGGCTCACTAATCCGTTTCTATTTATCAAGTTCCTAGTGGTGGTTCTTTTGCGTAAGGAGACTGCTTGCAGTTTTTTACTCACCTAGCTGCAGAAACCTACTCCTGGATAGATCACAGTAAAGCCCAAGCTTCATCTTCTTGGTAAAATCTGAACATTACTATGCCAGTACTCCTATCCTGTGACGGATTCTCATCTACCAAGGGTGCTATTCTACCAGGATTTGGTCTCTTTAAAGATCTAATTTTTAATGTTGTTTTAGTGACAAATTGTTAAGCTGTAGGGTTCGAGGAGGGAATTGTTTATACTGGCTCCAATTTTGGCCAATCCGTCAACCCCTGTGTCCTGAGAGCCTAGGAATCCATTTGAGGGTCACTGACCCCAAGGATTCCTCGCAACACCAGACACATTTTGACATCATCTCTCATGAGCTTAAAACGTTATGTGCATATTGACTGTCAAAGAGTTTGTCTTCTTAGAGAAATAGGGATAAAGGACAAACGATATCTTGGGATCCCATGGCACACAGAACAGAATGATAACGAAAAGGCTGATAGACCAGCCAGGGAAGGGCTCCTCAACATCAGCAGTAGTAGCAAAAACATTCTGTTAAGTTCCAAGCTGCCATAAAAAAGGAATAATTGCCAAATAGATCATGTTAAAACCTAGAGCGGCAAAAACAGACTTCATTGTAAAAGTCTCTGCTAAGCTTTTTACTGACTTGCTACAGCAAAGGACGAAACTCAGAATTATTGCATATTTGATAACTAAACATTACCGACTCGCCAGCTAATTAAAAATGTTGAAAATGATAGAAATCACGGAAGTTATGTGGATCCTCTACGCATCTTCCTCCAGGGGAAGCATATAGGCTAATGCAAGGTCAGGACCTCCTCCGCCAAGTTGTTGAAACTAAGAGAACGACTTCAAAAGGACTGAGCATGTCTAGACTCCATGATTCCTAGGTATAACTACGCAAAGGCATATCAAAAAGGGCAGCATGGAAAAAAGGACTATCAGACACCGATGTCTCTATTTGGTGAACGGACAACTTCAAAACCAAAAATTAAGAAGAAACCGTGTCTATAGAGGTAAAAGGGCTGGAAAAAGAAGAAAAAAAGATTGCCATGAATTCTGACAGCCAAGCTCCTCTAGCACAGACCCACCTGATGTGATCACGTACAGGAGAACTGCGTGAGAGCCCTGGGAGAAGTACGAATAAAATACTGTCTCTCAGCTGGGCCGAAGGGTTGTGAACAGGCTGATAGACTAGCTGCAAGGGGACCACAGCAGCACCAGAACTCTTCTGTAAAATGCCAAACTACCATAAAAAACGAGCAATTGCCTAATGGAACAACTCAAACTTGGTAGAACATCCCAGGGCAAACAACTTCGCAAAAAAAGTGTCGCTCGAACTTACTACCTGCCGAGCAAAGCTCAGGACCATTGCGGGTCTGCTAACCAAGCATTGCCGACCCAAGGCACAAGTAAAACCTCAGGACATCATGCTATTGTGAAGAAGGAATGTATTTCTCAGTTATTAATGGAAGTTATTTCAATTTAATATGTTTTGTGGAAGTTAAATTGTAGCTTGTTTTTACTGAACATCAAAAACCTGCATTATTTTTGCATAAACCCAATACATAGTTATGTAATACATAAAGGAAGTTAGTTTTTAATGTTCGGAAGTTACATAATGCGGGACAGTCCTAGGGTCAGACTACGTTGGCCCTCTAACACCGCCGGTGCATTTATGTAATGACCCTTTTGTTCGGTCATCTCTTCTACTTACGACATTTTGCCATTGCGCAAGTAGCACGTGGTGGAAAGGCGGCCAACCTTGGGTCCGGGACGAATACACTAACCCGAAACCGATTTTTCAGCGGGCTCTAAATTCAAAAGGTCCTTTCTGAACTGTGAAACCTTTATTTTCACCGGATGCTCTCATTAAATTATTTTCTCGGTTCTCAAATTCGTGGTTTAACCTGTGGTCCAGTCTATACACAAAAAAAGGTCCATCTTGCAAAAGTTCAAATAGTTCTAATTTTTTAATATGTTTGTTTTCATGTAAATGTATTTAATGTAAAAATATATGTATTAAATATATTTTAATTTGTTACATATGCAAAGAAACCAAGTTTTCAATTTCGATGGACGTGTGCGGGCAAAAAAAAATTGTCATACTTCTGCTGGTTTTTGCAAAATATTTCCTAAAGTATGCATCCTACAAATATTTCACTCTATTTATTTTTTGAGTAGATTAAATTTGCTAAAATTTAAGACCAAAACGAGCTCTGCACGTTTGAAATTTTCAAAGATACAGCTCTTCAAAAAATGACTATTTTTTCCCAAAAAGTGCGAAATTTTAGTTTTGGTCATGATTTTTGGCAAATATCGGGAAAAATACTCATCCTAAAAGAAAAGTCATTAAGAATAAGTTGTGACAAATTTATTTAACTGTAATTTGAGCACAAAAAGTCCTCTAGTTAAGTTCAATAATTTCCTCGCAATACGCAATGATAAAATACGGGAAAAGTGGAAATAATTCCGAAAAATAATCAAATTTCTACAGCTTTCCCTCATACTCATTAAAATCATTCACTCATTTATATAATAGTAATTTTGGAATCCTTCTCAAATCAACCGTCTCAAAGTTGTGACGCGTCTGCTGGTGTCCAACAGGGATCAACAATATGACCTCTTCTTTTTCCTATAGTTTTCAATGCCAAAACCTAAAGATTGCAGTGGCCTTGTACACTGATGACATTGCCATCTACAATTCGTCCTGGAGAGTGGATACAACAGCCAGCAGACTTGCAAGGCAGGTTCTGTAATAAATTGAGGATTAAAATAAATCGCACAAAAAGGGAAGCTATCCTCTTTACAAAGGACCTGTGTTGTATTTGCATGTCATCTTCGCGTATCGCATAACACCTTGTCTGCTACTGTTAAGCACCTTGGGGTAATGCTTGTCAGTATGCTTTCACCACTCATGTATGGGATAGAGTAAAGACAAAGCTGAAATTCCTGTCTCGTTTCCCTTACTGTGCTTCTAAACTGTCCACCCCCTCCTCTATAAAGTAGAAATACTTTTGTATGCTTACATGGGGTTTGACATCACGATCAATTTCTAGACTTGCACATTAATGCAGACATGGAGTATATTGTACACCACATATAGTAAAATGCCTCACAAAGTATTACTTTGATGGTGTGAGCTAAACAGTAATCAGTTAGTTGGACAAATTGGGGAATATGACTTGGACTTTGTGTACAGGCATAGGAGAGTAAACTATTTAGTTTAAACTTTCTATGGCTTAGGGTTTTTCTTACAATTTTTACCCATTTTTTAATTGATTTTTACATATTTAAAACAATTACAATGGTAAAAATGCAATAAGAATAAAATAATGACATGAAAAACATCATGAGAGAAATCACCCAGCTGTGAGCCTCCTTTAAAGAAATAAATAATGACCACTTTTCAATTTTCTTTGTCACTACGTAGGGCATCATGTAGTCATTGGCATCTCAATCAACGGGGAGGATTATCTAGGATGGTACTGGAACTGAGCTGATGGACTAAGATATTGGGATGTGTGGAAAAGGATTGATGGAATTTTTTGTAATAGGTTTTCATTACTTCTGGAACAAAGGGAATATTAAGGTCTCGGTGTAGAGAGAGGTTGGATACATAATAAGGAGGGTTAACAATTTTTCTCAGGACTTTTGATTGTAATCTTTGGGTGCCTTGGGAGTTGGAACGCTTGGTTGACCCCCAGAGTTTGATATCATAAACTCAATAGGTTTGAGGTCCACATAGGTTTGAGGATCATGGTGTATATCAATCTTCTGAAGTTAAATTGACTTTTGGATCTTCTGTCAAGTAGTGGTGATAACAATTTGTAACATCTGTTTAATTTGTTTCGTTTTAGTCTTTGTACAGATTCCAAGTAAGTCATTTGTCCAGATGAAGTCCCAAGTAACATGCGTGTTCGGCAGGGGGTAGTGAAATCCCTTTAAAGTAAAAAGGTGATTGTGTTATACGTCTGAGTGAGAAGTTAATGTTTGGCTCATTTTTACATTTATTTTAATTCACCACTTTTTGGACCAAACGTCGAATAGTTTTGAAAGTTTCTGTATGCAAGAAAAGGATTGTTATATTATCAGCAAAAGTGGAGAGAATTGTTTCTAGAAGTATAGGAATGTCAGCAGTGTATATCGAGTAAATGAGAAGTCGAAGAATGCTCCCTTGTGAGACACCAGCTTGTATATCACTGTGCCCTGACTAACTCTGAAGTAACAGTCAGACAGGTACGATTTTAGGATTCGATAGTAGGTATTGGGTAGGATGCCCTTCAACTTACAAATAAAGATTTTATTCTATTCTATACTAATACCCTCTTACAAAGTAGCAAATTTCATATTAATATAAAAACATCCCATAGAATATAATATAAAATGCAAACACATTTTTAATTGACTCAATCCATATTTGGATATTTGTGGAGTGAAGCTTTGCCCCAACTTGTACCAATAATGGACAATCTTAACTGTAGATGCTTGATCAACTAGGCTATCTTATATATTCTGCATATTCTATAATCATAATGTATGTTTCAGCACCCCAAGATCATCTACTCTTGGAAGCCAGAGCTAGCGTACTGCAAAAACTGAACCGCCTAGAAGAGGCTCTACAGGATGTCAATTTTCTTACAAGTTTAAGGCCGCTTTGGGCCAAAGTGAGTGTTCAAATCTTATCTTTTAATTGTTAAACCCTTTCAAACTAGTATACGAAACGTATAAACAATTTTCAGGGGCATTATAGAAGAGGGATGGTTTTATCGAGCCTTTGTCAATACGAAGAAGCCCTACTTTCCCTTTCACTTTGTGTAGCACTTGGATCGAACTCTGAACGGGTCAAAAACGAGTTTGTTAAAATACTTAATAGGTTCCTAACTCCGCCATTAGGCACTTGCAAGAACGTACTAATAAAAAAGAGTGCCCCAATCAACCCCTGGTGGTCCATCGACTTCAACATTTTGGAGCTATCGCCTAAAACTGAGGAACATTGTATTGATGTAAGTGCTAACTTTCATTTTTTACAAATTTAGGATGGATTTTAATAAAGACTAATAATAAACTTCTTTTTTTTTAGAATTTTAGTAAATCAGCAATGTCAAATGCTCCAATGCTGGAAAGTAAAAAACTTCATCTATTACTTGACAGAATATTTGAAGAAATAGAAATAACTAAAAGTATGTCTATTGCTATTTTTAAAATGTATCAATTGAAGATGATAGATCATTTAATTTAAAAAAATTCCAGATCTACAAATTGAAGGAAGGAATATTATTGTTAGGAGAGATATGGTCGATGCTGAAGATTTTGAATGTGTCCTTTGCTGTAGAACTCTCTGGAGGCCTGTAACCACACCGTGCGGTCATACTTACTGCCTCATGTGTTTGGACCGATGTCTAGATTACAGTTCAAACTGTCCACTGTGCATGACCTCATTGTCCCAGTACCTTGGGGCGAGTGAGAAAGTAGTCACTGAGTTTCTTGAAGTGGCTCTCGCTCTAGCACTGCCATACGAATACGCACTGCGACTCATGACGCACAGACAAGAAGTGTCTGTTCTAGTGCATGCTCCGGATGTGCCGATTTTTGTATGTACTACGGCTTACCCGACTGTCTCATGCCCATTGTTTGTGTTTGAGCCGAGGTACAGACTGATGGTGCGAAGAGCGATTGAAAGTGGTGGTCGGCAATTTGGTATCGCAGCATGCACCCACCAGCACAACGGCGTTAAAAGGTATTAAAACCAAATCACTTTTTTTTTCTTCTTAAACATACTTTAGTACAAAATTAAAATGATGTTATAGATATGCTGAATATGGAACTATGTTGGAAATAAAAGATATCGTACTAATGAATGATGGCTGTTCAATCCTGAGTAGTGTTGGTGGTAGGAGGTTCAGAGTTATTTCTAAAAATGAACGGGATGGCTATGATACTGCCCAAGTCCAATACATCGTCGATGACCCTATACCTCAGCAGTCCTACCAAGGTAAATAAAAGATATTGATATAAAACATATTTTTCCAATATTTACTGTACTTTAGTTCCACCATATAAAATAACATAATCACTTTTTTTTATTTGTGTTTAGAATTAACTCTCCTTCATGACACAGTAAGGAAACGAGGAAAATATTGGTTTTCAAAGATGAGTCAAGACATGCAGATGAAGATTATAAGGACTTTTGGAGAAATGCCGCCTTTAGAGTCTAATTGGTTAAGCCTGGAAGACGGGCCTGCATGGGCTTGGTGGCTTGTTGCCATACTGCCTCTAGGACAGCATTTACAAGTATGCGACTTGATTTTCGTTTTTTTACTTTTGAAACAGGCTTATGTTAAATTAATCGCTTTTTCAGATTGGAATACTTCGAACTACGTGCCTCGAAAAACGCCTCAGAGCGATCGACAAGACTCTGAAGCACTTTGAAGAATCGCCTCACAGCATTGAAGCAGTTACCAGCTCTCAAGAGAACTCACTGAAGAGGGGAATACCCTCGATGAGGCTCACTTGACACCACAAACAAAACAAAAAGCCTAACGTTTAATGTATTATAAAAAAAAATGTTAATAAGTAATGCAGTAATAATTTTCCAAAACATTTTTAGAAGGCATACTATTATAAGGATCTCTTTAAATAAAACTTTTATTATACAAATACTATGTATTTGACTCTTAATATGTGTTAATTTACTTTTTTCTAGTTATACTGCTTTGTTTTAGTTAAACATACTTTGAAATGTTTTTCTATAAAACAAGAGATTTATATAAATCAGATAAATATTTAAAAAAACGTAAAATCAACTTAAAAAAAGCTAAAAGTGTAAGAGAGTCATTGCACCCACCTATTGCTTTAAATTGGTTAAAATGTGATGGAATAATTTATGGATTGTTTGTTTGCTATGGTATGTTTTTTGCTTTGGTTTATTTATAAGTATTTATTCATTTTTAGTTAAGTTTATTCAACTATTAAAATAAAGGGCCTTCCTTTATTGCTTTTTCTTTACTTTCCTATTTTTTTTCTTTATATTTTACATTTATTAAAGAGAGTGTGCACAATAACAAGAAATGGTGCTATGCAAACTGTGAAAATACATTCCTTTCTTCTTTAAACTCTTTTTTGGGGGAAGAAAATAAATTCAGAACATGTTAATTTATTTATAACTCTCAAAACGTTGTAATATCCAGTCTGTAAAAGAAAAATTTGTATATTTTTTAAATTCAAATAACTTTAGACAAAGCTTTTATATGTAATAAATTGGCTGTGATGATGTTTTTTCACTGGTATAACATGTTTTAAAGAGGAGAAAACTGTATTTAAAATTTAAATTAAAAATCCTTTATGTACTCGACGTAAAAAGTGGAGTAATTAAAAAAAAAATTTATATTTTATTATTTTCTATTGTTTTGAAGGTGTCATTTAAGAATCTATTGTACAAAGAATTGCCATAAATGTAACATATGAGAAACGACTCAAAGTGTAATATAGATTTCTTTTTTTGTTTATGTATTTTGTTCATCCTTAAAATCCATCCTTGAAAGGAAACCAAAACACATTGGATTAATCGGTTAAAACCGAACCAAAATGTTTTATTGTGGTTGAATTTGATCGGAACGATATACACATAAACAAATGTTATCATTTGTGAACCATCATAGTGAAGATCCTTCTTCACTTGAAAAAAATAGAAGAGACAATTTAAAAAAAGATAAAGATACATCCATACAATAAAACAAAAACAAAAAATTCGAACCTGACATACTTAAAAATGGACTTGTACACAACACAGGCACCCTGAGGGTTCATATAACTTCATAGTTGAAATACCCTCATTAAAATTGTTTTTATGGCTATAATGGCTTTCTTGATCCAAGATGAACCCAGAGACAAAAAAAAACTCCAACTATTTATCTACTGAACTATCATACCTGAGAACACTGGGGATGCTGAGTCGGTGTCGATTGTGGGTGGTGCCAGGGTGGCCTGGGTATTGCTCCGAATCTCAGGAAAGATCTGGACTTTTCCATAGGATATTCAACACGTAAATGGTTTTTATCCACATCTTCCTAATGAGATCCGTTTATTATCACTGATGAGAAAATATTTTCACCCAGGTGTGCTTGCCTTAGTCCCCCAGGCTCTCAACGTGAGTAATAGCTAATATAAAACCCATAAGGCAAAAAAAATTCTGGGGCTTTGGGCACAATTTGTGTCAAAGTGAATATATAAATAAAGTATTTAAATTTAATAGCATAAAAATAAAAGAAAAGTACTAAATTAAATAATAGTGGGAAAGCTTTACAATCCTCGGTGTTAAAATAGAGGTCTGTAGGTAATCAAAAGTTTAAAGGTGGAAACAGTTGAGGCATGATGATGGGGTAGATAAGCCGCAAAAAAGTTCATAATTAAGCAAATATAACAAACCCAAAATTATACAGTGTCAAGTTGCTAGTGTCCTTCCTACTACCAAATATTCGTGTGAACAGTTAAGTAAAATAATTCCAAAAAAAAAGACTGATGTATTTGCTAATTAATTATGTTGTAAATATTGTTTTGCCAGGATGTAATCGTCCATCAAGTCCTTAGTCACCAAATTTAAGTTTTGAGAGATTATTTTTTCTATACAGGTAGATTATAACCAGTATTCATTTTGTAATCAGTATTCAGGTGAAAGGATAGCCTAGTGTTTGTAGAAATGATGAATGATGGAGTGAGTGTGGTGTTCAATCCTTTTTTAAAAAGATAGTTCCTACTCACATTAAGTTGTTTTGCAACGTCCGGATTTCGAGCCCTTAGCTCATCATCAGGTTGAAGACTTGAAGGACTTCCACAACCACGTCTCTCGACAAGAATTACAAAAGTGAACCCGCTGATACCCCCGCCAACGCGACGTTCCAATGAGAAGCTATATTTTAATGGCGCTCAATTTGAACGTGCGAAAAGCGGGAATTATAACAAATAAATATTATACTAGTAAATACTGTAAGAAATTGATTATAAATTAGTGATTAAAGATAAAAGATAAAAAATTATAATGATACCTTAATATTATTAAATTATTATAAAAATAATAACAATTAAAATAATTAATTTAATTATTTGTACATTTAATATTATTTATGTACATATTTAAAATGGGAGGAAGATCAAAATCTGTTATATTATTAAGGCATTTATCACCATGTTCAATTTTAAATTTTTTAATTTAAAATTTCTCAAATCAATCTAGTTCTCTCCCTTTGTTGAAACTGTGTAACACTGTTGTATTTAAATTTGAATTGAAATTATGTTTGTTTCTTTTAGATGGTCCTTAAATTCCGAAAATTTGCTCGATTTAGGCAAGTGTTCTTTAACTCTCGTTTACCATAAATGAATCCTTTTACTTTTGCAATTCATGTCGAGAGACGTAGGTGTGGAAGTCCTTCAACCTGATAATGAGCTAAAGGGCTCGAAATCTGGATCATGCAAAACAATTTACTGTGAATAGGAACTATCCTTTTAAAAAAGGATTAGCCAGTGTTCTGTTTAAATCACCCAAACCCCCATCAAATTGGTCCTCTGGGCCGGATGGGAAATGACCATCTCCTTAACTATTAAGTTAGGTTAGTCCCTTATGTGAAGGCTACAAAGCTTGTTGCACTCTTTCCATCAAGTATGTCTAGTCACCAAGCTTAAGTCTTGAGTGGATTATTTTTTTAAAACAGATAGATTATAAACGATATTTGTTTTCTAACCATCATTCTGGTTTAGGGTTAACTTCCATTATGTTTAGATCGCCCAAGCGTACTATTAAGCTGCATTTTTATCATGCGAAAATCACTTAACGCAAGAATCACTCATGAAACAGCTGTCTTGGGACAAGCATACCATTCATATTTACACCAAATGCAGCATAAGCGTTTGATATCATGGCAATACTTTATGTTTCAATAAAAAAAATCCCGTTAATGCTCTTGTTCTTAGTATGATGTCTTCAGCATCCCACAAAAATCAGTAGCTCTAGTATAGTTGCATAAGTTGAATTCAATCATCCTCGTTCTTTCTGAATCTCAAGCCATGTGTGCGTTTTCACAGAGAGAGAAACAAACGAGACAGACAAACAACTTTGATGTGCACTAAAAAACCAACAGCCGGTTTGCTCACCTTGGAACATCCTTGTGCAAAAAGTTTCAAAGTGAGGTCTAGGATGCAAGGAAGCTTAGCCTGCGACAGGAAATGTACAGTCATGATTAGAGACATGAGATCTCTTTATGGAGCTAAATATGAACCAAAGAAATTAGTTCATGATTCTCTTGAGTCTGTTAACAAGCTCGTTGGTGAGTCCACCGTGGACCAAAAAGCCTTAATCGGAGAAGCACAAGTGATCAGGATTTTTGGTTGCTGATTGGGAAGAGCTAATTTCTATTATGGAATTGGCAGAGCATGGAGAAGCAGCTGGGGTAGATTTGGAAAATGTGGGATTTCCAAGAAGGGATTGTACCTGTGGTTGTAATAGAGAGTGGAGGATTAGGAAATAAGGATTAGAGAAGAAGATTAGCCTGAGACTTATTGATATCGAGAGACTACATTTTCAAAGGAGTTGATGGGATTTATTTCCTCTTGAATTCGTGTGATTGAGGTTTGAAGTTCCGAGGAAAAAATGAGAGTTAGATTTGGAAGTCATCCGCGTAGAGGTGATAAGTGATATTAGGAAGTTAGGAAGATCATTGATATAAGAACAAAAGAGGAAATCAGATATATTGGAGCTTTGAGGGTCACCAGAAGTGATTGGCAAGGGAAAGGAAAACTTGTCTAAGATTAGGACTATGTGCGATCCAGCTGGTATTCCAATAATTTGACTAGAGAAAATAAAATCAGTCCATTTCTCAGGAAATTTTATTAAAATGTAACAAAACATAGCTCGTGATATTTTTCAAACATAAATACGGCCTAAATCTGGTTGAGTTCATTTAAAAGATAAAGATCTTCACCTCTGAGACTTATAGGCACATCATGGATCACTGAGTCGACAAGGACTTTCTTTTCGCCAAATTTGTGGAGGTATAAATCTTCAGAAAATTCGGCCCACCTCCGCCCATTGACAAATTCGCGGAATACTTCTTCAAGCGTTGGGTAGTTCATGTCTAAAAACATTATTATTCTCCTCCAAATGTTATCGGGTGTGTAATCTTGGAAAAGGATAAATCTTGGCACTACAAGACACTTCAGGCCTTTGTTTGCCTTAATAATGTGATTGGAGAGAGTTTCTCCTGCGAAAAAAATTCATAATTAAAATTAGAATTTTTTGTTAATTGAATTAATATTTATCATTAAGAAATGATAAAAAAATAATTGTATTTCAAATGGTTTACCTAAACCAAAACAAGCCCCTTGAAACAAATGGCACGTTTGCATAAAAATATTGTGCAAGTTATTTTTCTTGTTAGTGTCAGCGTTCTGATCTTTGTACAGAATGAATTTTGCATGTTTGTCACCCTTTTTCAAGATTTTCTTGACTAATATTCGCTGAATAACTGTGACCGATCCCTCGAGGATGAAATGCGTCACAAAAACATTCGTGTCATCTTTAACTGAAAAGAAAAATATTAAACTGAACTGTTTAGATTTATAAAAAAAAACTCACCTCTTATAACGTCATCAGGATTGTATCTGACGATGTTTGAGTGCACGCAGAACTGATGGATTGCCTTGCTCGACCAATGTTTGAAATAAGAAAATTTGTTCATCGAGCTTTTGATCTCGTCCCATTGTAGTTGCAAAGTTTCATGCAGCACTTGGCTCAAACTTGGCTTTTTTTTAATAAAATGTGCTTTGACAGCTTTTTTGAACATTTTGAAATACTTATTATTTCGACTTAATGGACCAAATAATGTAATGGAATTGGGTTGTTAGATCAATGGTGCTCAGCAACTCGATCTATTCACGTCAATAGTGAAAGCATTGTTGCTAGATATATCTTACTACAATTTCTCCCTCATTCTTTGCTTTCAAAAATAAAAATAATAATTTTTCCTTGGTTTCTGAACAAATTTATTTAAGTAATGAATTCTTCTATGATTTAGAAACTGCTAGAAAAGTAAATTAGCATGGATATCTTTCATATATATTCTCTGAACATGCCTAAGTTTCTTTGAATAATTTTAATATTATTTTATATAATTAAATTTGGTCTTTTTGGTCTGTCCATCTTCGATCCTCAAAAGGTTTGTGTGCTTGAATATGCTACAATTCCTGTATTGTTCTTGTATGAAAAAGGCCCTCCTCACTAAAGCGCATGGGCAAGATCCATTGCTTTACTGAATCACAGACTAAATTTTAGTTCTTGTATTTTGGATTTAATTCTGATTATTCTTCCTCTCTCAGTTTTTAAAAACTGTCGGTCCTTTACTAAATCCTTACATAATACCTGAAAAACGTGGTTTCCACGCTTTGCTCTCGACAAGACTTATCGCACTGGGTTCATCAAGTTTAAGTTTTGAGTGGATAATTTTTTTAATACAGGTAGATTATAACTGGTATTCATTTTGTAATCAGTATTTAAGTGAAGGGATAGCCAACGTTCAGTTTAAATTGCTCAAACCCCATCAAATTGGTCCTCCGGGCCGGATGGCAGATATGTGAAATGGATGGGAAACCTCCATCCTCTTAACTTTCAGGTTAGGTTAGGCCCTTATGTGAAGGCTACAAAGCTTGTCGCACTGTGCCCATCAAGACTGTCTAGTCACCAAGTTTAAGTCTTGAGTGGTTTCTTCTTTAAATGGCACGTTAGTATTTGTTTTCTAACCATCATTCTGGTATAGGGTTAACTTGCATTATGTTTAGGTTGCCCAAGCCCTAGCAAATTGCTCCTCTGGATGGAATATAAGAGGATCGGACTAAAAACTACCACCTCCTTTTACTATTAAGTTAAATTTTAATTCTTGTATTTTGATATATTTCTGAATATTCTTCCTATCTTGGATTTAAAAAACTGTCAGTCCTTTACTAAATCCTTAAATAATACTTATTCACTAATAATCTTCTTTTTCAAGAGTACACAACAAAAGCTATGCATCAACAGTTGACCCAATATATTTAGATTTTGCCAAGGCATTTGATAAAGATGACCATTGTCTCCTTATCTGAAAACTCAACATGCTCGGAATACATGGTTCTCTCCTCAAATGGTTTAGCTCCTTATTGCAAGATAGAAATCAATTTGTGAAACTTAATTTAGTAACTTCTAAAAAAATAGTAGTCTCATCTGGTGTACCTCAGGGGCCGTTACTCGACCCATTCCTTTTTGAAGTATTTATTAACAATATTTCTCCTTGTTTTTACACAGTTAAATCTCCTTCTTTGCTGATGACCTGAAGGTCTATACCACTAAAACTTCCATTCGAGATGTTGAGCTTTTGCAAAAATCTGTAAATAATCTTGTTGGGTCGTGTTCATGCAACGGCATGGAACTAAATATAAATAAGTGTAAGGTTATTAGTTATAGTCTTGGATGTAATGTTTCTTCTGCAATTATGACATGCAAAACATGCAATTGGACAGACTACCATTAAAGATGGAATCACCTACTCTAACTTCCTAATCTGACATTTAACTTGCATTGCACCTCGATAAATAAGACAAAGCAAATTTTAGGTTGCTTACATGGAACTATAAAAAATTTTAAGGATGCAGAAACAGTGATTATACTGTTTGAGACTATGGTCTGTGCCATTTTAGAATACTGTTCAGTTGTTTGGTCACCACATCAGAAAATACTAAGTAAGTCAATAGAAAATGTACTGCGAGGATTTATTCACACTCTTTGGTTTAGAATTACTAGAACGTACTTCGGCACACCTTATCAACTTATTATGGAATCCGCTGAACCACAACTACATCCTACCCCTTCTTGCGAGAATCCTTTGGTCATGCTAACTTGTATAGTGTCGTTTCCTATGCTAAGCTCAGCTTTTTTGCTTCTTGGCTTAAGTATACTTGCGGCCCAGCCACATAGCACAGTAGGTGAACTCACTGAAGCTAAGTTTATGAAGTGGTTTAGCAGAAAGAAAGGTCTTATGGTCATTTATAAACATTAAAAATAATAAAGGGCCCAAATGTGATCCCTGTGGGACCTCAGACTTAGCCATTGCACTGTAGTGGAAATCTACGGTTACCACGATACTTGTTAGGTATCACTACCGGTTCTGGAATAGTTTCGCCCTCCACTCTGCAGCGAATCAGAGCAGAGCCAGTGCGTATTTAAGCAGGGGTACTGGCCCACTGACTTCAGATTCATCAACCCGACGAGGCCTCACTCATACCCTCAGATTCGTCATCCTAACAAGGTCTCTCCTACCCTGAGACTCATCAACCCAACGAGGTCTCACTCATACCCTCAGACTTGTCAACCTGACGAGGTCTCATACTCTCGGACTCATCAACCCGATGAGGTCTCACTCATGCCCTCAGACTCATCAACCCAATGAAGTCTCACTCATACCCTCAGACTCATCAACCTGATGAGGTCTCACTCATACCCTGAGACTTGTCGACCCGATGAGGTCTCATTCATACCCTCAGACTCATCAACCTGACGAGGTCTCACTCATACCTCGACTCATCTACCCGACGAGCTCTCACCAATCATTAATGAACAATGACAGCAAACTCGTCTCTCTGACGAGTTCTTGCTTATCAACTAATGAAGCACCTACGACGATGGCAAGGGTACTCTCAGAGTTAGCCTCAAACTCGCCTTCTCAACATAGCCAACTTGGCTACAGGCAAACCACTACACTTGGCCAACTGCTGCACCACAGTCCCTTCAACCGATGTAGAGTCGCCGACTCACGGACCTCAGCCAACTGTTCTCTCTACCAACAGGCATACACACTCAGTTGCGGCCTCGATACATCGTCTCAACACTACCTCTTCCAAACAGCTTGTCAGGGCCACCAAAAAACTCCGTCACTAAAGCATGAACATCACTCTACAATATTATTTAAAGATTTTTGCAGATCAGTATTGTGAAGATATAGCAGTACAGACCTTACAATCATCAGAGTAAACTGAGTAAAAACAATTTAACATTTTTTATTCTTTTATTTAACAATGAACGTGTTTTTTGATAAATGTTTGTTTATTGTGGTTAAACAATAAACGCACAAATCAAGGTGATGGAAACAATTAGCGTAGTATTTACAGTTAATTTGTTTTCAATTTATTTGTTTTGCTCTTTATTGGTTTCAAGGTCTTTTTTTAATCTATCTGTGATGAAATTGGCCGACTGGCGAATGACGAACGTGCTCAAACCGAAGGTACGTGGCTCTCCCCAATTGGTGCCTTGGTGGTACTTAAACTTCACCAGATGATGGGATGACCTCTGCTCTCTCAGTCCTACCTCGAAGGTTACCAGATTGAAGGTTACTTCACCATCGCCCAACCCAACGTCATTCTCTCTCCTTCAACCGCCCGTCTCGCAGGGCCATTAAACACAAGTGCTCTATCGACATAAACCTTTAAATTAACCCGAAACCAAAAATATTCTACGAATATGTAAGTAATAAAATAGTAAAAAATCACTTTTTAAATTAATTATGGCTGGCAGCTTAGAATTTAAAATATAAAAACTATGCATGTTATTTTACATTTCTTGTTTTTCTTGTATAAAAACAACATTATTATATTAAAGAATAAAACAAAACACTTTTGTTTAATTTTCTTTTCAGCTATAATCCTCTCCATATGGAAAGCTTGGACATCAGGTACTCTAGGTACCTCCTTGTCCTGTTAGTCCTGGTCCACCAATGCGTCGGGCCTCCTACGAAGAACAAAGTAAAGACCGAGGAATCGGACGAGAAGGAGATCACCTTAGTAGGTCAGCTCTTCCTTCATACGCGAATCTCTGAAATTTAAAAGTTTCATTTTTTCAGAACGACCTCGGCCTCGAGTACAACCGTTATTTGAAGGAAGTAGTCGATACTTTGGAATCCGATAAAGAATTCGCCAAAAAGCTCCAATCTGCTAGTGATGTCGATTTCAGGGTGAGAGCCATTTAATTGTTTACGCCCTTGGCATCATTGTCTAACAATATGTCAGACAAGTTTATTCGATTCATTTAAATTATTAACATTCTGATAACAATCTCTTACTCTCAAGTCTTTAATAATTTATAAATGTTATCCGATTTAATTAATGGCATCAAACGTAGCTAAATGATGATTAATTCTTGAAGCATATTTGAACTTCACCTAAACTGATAGGTTAAATATGCAATATTTCTCACCAGAACAATAAATACTCTAGTTTAAAACTATTTCAGCTGAAAAAAAATTTCTTCAATAATTAAACATTTTAGAATGGAAAAGTTGCTGCTGAATTGGAATACGTGAACCACCATGTCAGGACCAAGCTTGACGAGCTCAAGAGGACTGAGCTTCAGCGGCTCAGGGATTTGGTGGCCCAGCTCAACGAACAGGAACACCAGCAGAAAAGGGAAGAAATGCACGCCCATCTCGACCACTCGAACCCTCACACGTTCGAAGTTGCCGATCTTCATAACCTTATACTCAAAGTGAGGAAAGACCTCGATGAAGCTGACAGACTCAGGAAGGAGAACTTCAAGGAGTATGAGCTACAGAAAGAGTTTGAAAAGGAGCAGAAACTCAAAACGATGGACGAGAAGCACAAGGAGGAATACCTCAAGGAAATCGAAGAACAGAAAAAGAAACACAAACAGCATGAACCTGTGAGTGTATTAGATATTACTTCTTTACAAATGCAATGTTTAACAAATACTTACAGTTGGACTTCTCCTGAACGGATACTTCTAACAAACAGACACCAACACCATTTTTTTTAGATTTTTTGATGTAGAAGTGTCTTTATGCTTATAAAAACAGTAAAAAGAAAAAACTCAGGTTTCCATGAATGACAGATGACTCTCTGCAAAGAGTAATGTTTGACACAACTCTCCCTGGACTTGATTTGACTCTCCATGGTCTCCTCAACTCTCTCAGGTCTTGACTCAGCACAACTCTCACTGGTCTCGACTCAACTCTCCATGGTCTCCTGGTCTCGACTGGACTTTTCCTCTTCTTGACTCAACTTGTTCAGATCTCAACTCTACTCTCCCTTGCCCCAACTCGACTTTCCATGATCTCAACTCCACTCTCTCAGGTCTTGACTCAACACAACTCTCACTGGTCTCGACTCAACTCTCCATGGTCTCGACTCAATTCTCCCTGGTCTCGACTGGACTTTTCCTCTTCTTGACTCAACTTTTTCAGATCTCAACTCTACTCTCCCTTGCCCCAACTCGACTTTCCATGATCTCAATCCCCTCTCTCAGGTCTTGATTCAACACATTCCTTTGATTCTTCCTTCTGGGTTGGCACTCCATCAGAAGACAAATTAAAAAAAAAAAAAGTTTAAAATTGCAAACTGTTAACAATTACAACTCTTTATCTGATTTTCTTTCGCTCATATTATGTTGAATTGGCTTACAATATTTAATATTTTTTCTATGTGTGGACCCTTAAATACCATTCCTGATTTCCGTCCGCTTATGAGAAATCGACTGTATTTAATACAAGTGGTGTTTGTAGATTCATCAGCCAGGTGGAAAGGCTCAACTGGAAGAGGTATGGGAGAAAACAGATCATATGGAAAATGTCAAATTTGACCCAAAAGCATTTTTCTATATGCATGGTAAGATTACCTAATAAACACGTAAGAGCTTTTTTCTAGTGTACTTTATTTGTAGATATTGACAGCAACGGATACTGGGATGAAGAAGAGGTCAAGGCTTTGTTTCTAAAAGAGCTTAACAAAATGTACACTTCAGGATCACCCGAGGACGATATGAGAGAGAGGGAAGAGGAAATGGAAAGGATGAGAGAACACGTGTTTAACGAGGCTGATACCAACCATGACAGATTGATATCGTAATGCGCTTTTTTCCAAACAATTTATTTTATATTCATTATGTAAAACTAATTGGCTTATTTCCTTTTATAGTCTTGAGGAGTTTATCGAACAAACGAAAAAGCAAGAGTTCCAAAGGGACGAAGGATGGGAGACATTGGACGAGAAACCTCAGTTCACAAGGGAGGAGTATTTGGAGTTTGAAAAAAGAAGGCAGGCCGAAATCAACAGCATGATTGAAAGAGGATTGGTAAAATTTTAAAACATTAAAATATATAATTTATTATAATTAATTTAACAATAATAAAGACCGGATTATCGTGCAATTGCATCTTTTTAGTGCTCACTCCAATTGCAAAGAAGCCATGACAGAAATTGACAACATTCTTATTTTTGCACATTTTGGTGTTATTGCACGAAATTTTGAAGTTTCACTGCACAAAATTTCATTTTTTCCTTTTTTTTTATATTTATATTTTTTTTAATAATAAAAACAATGTGAAAATACATCATTTTTGTGGGTTTATGGTATTTAGTAAACAAATTGAGGATAAAATATTTTTTGTAATCAGCTTTGTCAAAGTTTTCAACTTCCAATTCTTAAATTCCAAGAAATATTTTACATCCGACATCCAACTCTTTTCCATCACTTGCTTCTCGTTTTTGTTTATCAATCTTTCTTTGGCTTGGAAGCAAAGCAGAACCGCTTTAAAAAAAAATAAAAATAAATAAATAAAGCCTGTTAAGTTCATAGTACAGAATGTTCAAAGAGGTGGCTGCAGGACTACCCCATACTGAAAACCGATGGCCAAATTTTTTTAACACTCCTGATGCAAGAGTTTAAACTGAAATTCCACATGTAAGACAGGTCATCGATGACTGAATCATTGTTTTCAGTTTTATGTCCATACTACGCAACATTTCAAAAAACAAATAAAAATTAATTTTAGTAAGGAAAATGAGAACAAATTTATATTAAATTATACAACATTGTTTGTATAATTTGGTTTAAATTTAATTGTATATATTGGGTTTAAAATGAATATCATTGAATGATGTTAAAATAAACAATCAATCATAACAATGTTTAAGACAATTATTCAGAAATCATGAGATGCGGTCTGGTGTGATGTAAGTTTCAGAAAAATATTTTTTTATCGTGGCACTCTCAACACAACACACAAGAATGGCACAATTACATGGAAGACAAACACTTTGAGCCCTGAAGATGATCTAAATAAAGATCGAAATGGCACGATAAAGAAAATGTTTTTCTGAAACCTACATCACACTAGACCGCATCTCACAATTTCTGAATAATTATCGATTAACAGTCACTAATCACCACACACGTTTAAGACAATATTAATTTTAGGTAAATAAATTTTTTATTGAGTTAAATGGGGGGTTTTATCTTTATTACACTTTTTTGCATGATTTTGAGTTTTTTACTTTTGTCAAGGTTTTTATTGTACATTTTGAAGGTCTTTACTGCACGAAAATCCAGTCTTTAATAATAACAATACTTAAAAAAATAAAAATGGACGCTCGTATTTTGTTGTTTATTTCAAACTAATATATATAGTTAACAACATAAATACAAGTGTCTGGTTTTTTTTCGTATGTTGGTGTTTAATCATAATTAATTTAATTAATCAATTAATTTTTTGTTGTAAAAGTGGGAATTTTTGGTTTCACATAGATACAAGTAAGTTTTAATAATATAATCAAAATTGGTATGTATTTTATACAGCTTCAGCCCTATCCTGATGGCATGCAACCTATTGAGTATCATCATCCAGGTCAAGGGCAAGTAAGTCGTACAAAAAAATCCGTTATCTTTTTTTAATAGGGTTGTAGTGTGGGTACCGGTGTTTTTAAAAAAAAAAAAAAAAAAAAAAAACATTTTAAGTATGTTGGGTTCAAACTCAGCGTTGCTGGATCAAACCCAGGGCCCTTACACTTACGAGTCAACATGTCAAAGCCTTAACCATTGCTTCCACCAACACCCCTTGTTAATTAAAATTAACTTATTAATCAAATAAGAAGGATCAGATTAAATTTTCTAACTTAATAGAAACTTTAATTTTCTAAATTTGAGTATTGAAGTGCGTAGTTAAATAAAACTTCCCCTATGCTTTATCAATTTATCTGTTGGGTGGTAAAATAAATCCATAGCGTTTTGTCAGTAATTATAGATTTTTATCCCTCTTGTATTTTGAAGCAGTATTTATGTATTTATTTATTATTATTTGTTCTGAATAGGGGCGTTAAGCCTGGAGACAGGCGTAACTTTACATTTTTCCTAAAGAATAAAGTAAAAAAAGAAAAGTTATTTAAAGAAACTTTTCTTCATTTTTTGCAAGAGAAACAAGTTAAAAAGAATCAGATTTTGGAATGAGTCTTAATTTAGTCTTCTCCCCTAAACTTAAAATATTTATCTATGGAAAATTGTTTTGTTTTATACAAATTAGGGAAATATTGTAGTTTATCCTTTATTTTTAGAACTCAACCTCATGGAGACGATATTATTATTTTTTTCAGGTACCACCAAATGGTGTTCCACATGTAGGACAGTATCCTAACCAAGGGTACGTGCAGCATCCAAACCAGGTGCCTCAATATCATCCTAATCAGATGCCTCATCAGCCCAACCAGATGCCATACCAATCAAACCAGATGCCGCACCATCCCAATCAGGTGCCTCAACACCCAAACCAGATGCCGCACCATCCCAATCAGGTGCCTCAACACCCAAACCAGATGCCGCACCATCCCAATCAGGTGCCTCAACACCCCAACCAGATGCCGCACCATCCCAATCAGGTGCCTCAACATCCAAACCAGATACCGCACCACCCCAATCAGGTGCCTCAACAGCCTTACCACACAAACCAGGTGCCGCAATATCCTAACCAGGTGCCAAATCATGTTGCTCAGAATCACAATCAAAACCAAAATTACCAGCAAGCAAATCAGCAAAACCACTATCAAACCCAAGAACATTACAATCAAGTCAACCAAGGGCAACACAACAACCAGGTAAATCAAGGACAACCGCAACAACAAGTCAATCAGAACCAAGAGCAGCACAATAACCAGGTAAATCAAGGACAACCCAACTATCAAAATCAACCACAACAGCCACAACTCGGCCAAATGTCTCAGGAACATAACCAACCTTCCCAACAACAGAACCAAGTTAATCAAAAGAATGAGATACCTCAGCAGCATCAAAACCCTTCCGTAGACCAATATCAAAAACTCGATCTTCAAAAGGACAAAATAGGTAATAAAGTGAATTAAAATCTTCTGCATTCCTAAATCCAAAATAATGGGTAGTGATAATATATTATACTTTATTTGTTACGAAAATATAATACTTCATGTGTAATTTGATACTGATTATGTATTGAACACGTCACCTAAGAGCTTCCGTTGATAAATGTATGGTGTTGAAAAGACTTATGTGTTTCCATGCATAGGTATGTGTACATATATATATTTTTTATTTTTCATATATTTCAGTTATAGATTATATTTAATAAGTGGATTTCATTCTTATGGAACTGTATTTCCAGGGAGAAAATTATTTTACAATTTGGGATTAACGTTTAATATTAATGTCTTTACTGGCGTGTAAAGTTTGAATGGTTACCAAAAAAATCAAGTTTTTCAGTTATTTTGAGCTGTTTTACTGGCTTTTGAACAACTAAATGTAAAGACTGGAAAATTATTGTTTATTGTGGATTACTAGAATAAATAAAATTTTGATATTTCAAATTAGTTTATTCGTTTGAATATTAAAAATGTTTTGCACAAACGATGAGTAACACACAAACATTACACACAATAAAAGAACAAATTTTAAAGATAATTATAAATAAAACATATACTGAACAAAATAGTTCATAAGTTTTCTCATCACTTTATATCATGCAAAGTGTATATTAACTCAATAAGAATAATCATGAGTATAATTCAAAGCAAATTCATTTTAAAAAATTATTTTCAAGGCAAAAATCAATGCAGATTATTTTTTAACTCTGTCCCAGCTTATTTCAAACCTGATTATGATATATATAAAAGAAAACATATCTTAGATATTGCATATGGCTTCAAAATTTCAAAATTGTTTATTAAAACACACACCATGCAAAAGTTAATTTTTTAAAAATATTTGTAGTATTGTCCAGAATTAAGAACAATTAAATATTCAACTAATTGTTTTATTATTATGACAGATTCCCATACAACTTTAACGCAGCTCGATCTCTTATCTCTTTGTATTCTTTCCTTTGTTCGATCCTAAATCCTTCATCCATGTCTTCCAGCTGTCTCATTTTTGCAGCAATCTCTTGCTTTATGACATGATCGTATTCAGCCTTTTCCCCTTTCTCGTCCATAAATTTGAGAAAATCGAGACGTTCTTTGATCTCCTTGAGAGCTACAAAAATAATTAAAAATAAAGAAGGGTTTAGCTATAAATTAACCACGACTGCGGATATCAGAAGCGAGAATGTTTCCTGGGTCTGAATTAGAAGTTTTTTAAATAAAAGGAAGTCTCACAAGTGTGACTTGCTCGAGAAATAGGGACTTTGGGAGTATTGCTACATTGATCAACTAAGTAGTGTGCTTCAAGGAAGAGAATGTTTTCTTTGTATGAATCCTCGGGTGCCAGTGTTTCTAAGAAAAAAAGCCCCTTTTTAAATATATTGGGTTCAAATTTAGGACCTTTAAAGGGATGAATCATGTCAAAACCTTAACCATTGCGGCCATTAACACCCCTCGTTAATTAAAGTTTTATGTATCCTTGGGTGTTTATGAAAACAAGCCCATTTGAAGGTATTCCCTGAATTTGAACCGAGGACCTTTACCAGAGAGCACTGTGACAGCACCTTAACCATTGCGGCCACCGATGCTTCTTAACGGATCAACTTATAAAAACTTGCTTTTTCAAACGACAGAAATATATGTGTATAGTAGATTTTGTTTATCGCTACAGAATAATTTTTTAGCATAAAAATGGGTATCAAGTAGTATAGATGAGGGATGGTTTAGGGTGGGTGTTCTGGGGTGACTCAGTCATTGCAATCTTGAGGAAGGGAGAGGGTGGGATTCCTGAGTTTGTCTCCTGGAATCTTCAGACTTTTCATGATTTCGGTGTAAATTTGAAATTGAAAACAGGGCAAAAAAAGTACCCCCACTGTATTCACTGTGAGTCAGAAAAACTGAATAACTTACTCTCAGTGTAACGCTGGTCTTTTTCTATCATAATGTCAATTTCATCTTTGTTGTGTTGTTTTGCTTTGAGCTTGGCCAAAACCTTGCTTTTGTCTTCAGTGATTATTTTGCCAAATGCCATGAAATCCTGAAGTCTCTTTTTCTCTAAGTCATGATTTCCTAGACATAAAATCTATACTAGAAAAAATTCGGCCGGATATGACACGATATTTTACTTGTGGAATAATTGGGTATGAACTGTTCCCTTTCGTAAGCGCCCGATTCGCTGATCATATCTTTCTTGCGCCTCCTGGGGCAGGCAAAGTACTTTATGTTCTCCTCGACTTCCGTCCTCACACTTCGAACCGGTTTATTCGGAGGGAGCGGAAGCGGTTCTCCTTTATTCACAGACTCTTGGAGCTTTCTCCTTTGGAACATGGACAGCTTGCTTTCTCGAATTAGATCTATAAAAGAGAAGAAAGGTCGGCTCGGCAAGGATACATACGAGAGTTAGATACGCAATGTGCACCTTTGAGAAACGCTTGTGTCTCTGGAGAATATTCTGTACGTCTTGAGTGGAACAAACCACCAGGGGAGACTCTTGCATCTTTGGAAGACATGATTGTCAGAAAAAAAAGAAACCGATAAAAAATCCAAAACAAAACTCAGCACATAATAAAACTGTTACAATGTACAGTCGCTATGGGAACATCATATGTTTTATTATGATATTGATTAATCACTAACTAAACCTAATGTTTCAAAAAACCATGCTTTGACAACTTAATCTAAATTATTTAAATTTATTTGGCTTTTCTTCTACCACCAAATCTTCCAGTCATGTTTACCATAATGCGTGCACTTTCTAATCTTTACAAACAGCTTGAAAAAATAGTATTTAAAGGTTGTGTTCATCTTTCTTTTTAAAAGTGCCGAGTCTTAAATCAACCAGGGTCTCTTATGCTTCTTTGAAGAACATGAAAATGGCACCAATCTTTTTCAGGTGTCTTAAGCCTATCGTTTCAGGTCAAACAACCTGTCGGTTTTTCACCATTTCCTCTTATGCCTTCTTTTCAAATTGTACCCAGTGATGTAAATTACAGAAGGGACCTAGTTTTAGCGTGAAAGCCACATTAATTTCCTTCTCATCCTAAAACCTAGCAGGAAAGGACTGTTTTTCATTGCCAACTTGTTTGAAAATCTTACAGTTAGAGTCATCTTCGATCTGATTATCAAGCTCCGATGAGCTGCTTTATTTTTGTATCCCCTGTTCAAATTGATAACCTCTCAATAACACAAACTTCTGCTTGAAGATGATGCTTTATTTGCTGTTTAAGGCTGAAAACTTCTTGGGCGAGGGGCAATGAAGAGGCATGTGTATAAATTCTGAGCAGCACAGATATTACCAGGAAGAAGAAAAGACAGCAGAACATGTTCTCTGTTAATGCGAAAATTTATGTAAGCTGAGTTTTCTACTCCTGGGCTTGAAGGATAACCAATGGAGTCGTTGACAAATCTTTGGGGATCTAGTAAAAAGCTTTAAGCTTAACGATGAGCCCTAGACAGCAATGGAAATACACAACAGATCAATACTGGTCGTGGTGTAAAGGTTGTAAACAGGTCGACTCCTTTACTAATCTAATCTATTTACTTGGCAGTACAGCCCTAGTTCGGCCTCAGTCAACTCAAGAATCAAAAGCTCTCTTCTTGCCTCTGTTTTTCTTGTCCATCCTCTTACTTCCAACTTCCTAAAATCCTCCGTGTCATCCAGCCACATCAGCCTCAGTCTTACTTTCAGTTATTACTATAATTTTTTAGATCTTAATAATAACAAGTAAATAACATACAGTATTGCTTTAGTTGTATAATTTTAGTTATCACAGATATTTTATATGTATCACGCTGCTTATACTGGATGTTGTCCCAAGGTTTCAGTATCTCAATTTTCTCTCCCAGGTTGTAGACCTTTCACAATACTAAGTTTGTGGTGTTCTTTTTACAAAGCATTCTGCACGATTCGATGTATTTTATTTTGAAAGATTTGAATCCTTTTGATATTTGTTTTGGTGGCAGCCACCTAGACTTGATCACCATAGAGTAAGATTTGAGTAATTAGTACAAGCTTGTTCCCAGATATTTTACTGCTCTGTTTTTGACGTTTCAGGCTATATACTCTCCATTTTTAGTCTTGTTTGAATAAAAGCCATATTAAGGCCAACTCTGGGCTGACATTTTGCACTATCATCTGTTGAGTTTATATTTGTGTTATTAGCATACTGAGAACTGCACTAAACATAAGATGACAAAATAATGACCTGATATTTTCTTACAACTCTTAAATAATTTGATCAAGTGTACCCAATTAATCAATTTGTTAAATTTCCATATTACACAACTTAATACCAGAAAAAAATTATTTTCAAAATCTAATTATAATACAAATTATTTAAAATTTAGGCCGATTCCTCGACTTGGAAACGAGTAATAAACTTCCTTTATATTGTGACACTTTTTACCTTTCCTTAAGTCGATTTAAGCATTTTTTTTAAATATTGACCATGGAAGATATGTCTGATTTGTTTATATATTTTTGTTGTTTTCATTAAATTTTTATCATTCCTTCTCACTGTTTTATATTTGCTTATATATTTCTATTGTCCAATTAAATGTTTATCATTCCTTCTCATTTCCTTTTCACTTGTTTATATATTTTTGTTGTTTTCATTAAATTTTTATCATTCCTTCTCACTTCTTTTATATTTGTTTATATATTTCTGTTGTTATTAACTGGATTTTTATCATTCCTTCTCACTTCCTTTATATTTTTATGCACAAGTGTATTATGACATAATACTTGCATTATCTTATTTGTGTTTTTTATGTTGATATGTCCACATTTTTAATTATTGTATATGTATATTATTATTTATGCTTCAATTATTAATTACTACTTATATATGTTATATTAATAATTATCATATTAGTAACTACATAGTAGATAGATGTGCAATGTAAGTGTGTAGTAGAAAGATATGCGTAATAGCACTTTCTCCCCCTCTAATAATGCAATTGTTCCTTCCCTTGACCTGAAGAGGCATTTTTTTACACACTTTAGTCGAGTGAATATCATCGGCACTGTTGAAATATAGATAAATAAACTTTACTCCAATCGAGGTAGTTTATTTATAACTCGTGTAGTCGGTAGGACACTGGCAACATTGGTATCTAGCGTTCAGATTCTTTGAAGAATTCTTAAAGAAGACACAAAGAAGAAGTTAACACCTCTGAAAACCAGCGAACATGGTCTTCAATCATCTTGACCATCGCATTGCTCGGATGGTATGTCACCTCCTCTGACACAGACAACATAAAAGACAGCCAAAAACCCATCAACCTTGGTTCAGCAAAACTACACACTTCCGAGCACATGCTCATCTATTATTTTGATTTAAAATGCCTATTTACTGAATATCATATTCTAAATAATCAATACGACAAACTATCAACCAATGCACGGCTTAATTACACAATAAAAGAAGAAATTACACCATACTTTCATTTAATTAACTTTTCACAAATGATCATTGAAGACAAAATAAATAATTAGTTGGTGCATTCAAAAACTAGATCCAAAAGAGGAATTGTAAACGGTTCCATTGTAAAATTTATTACCGGGAATTTAGATAACTATGATGGTGAATGAGGTCAAATCACATAAAAACAAATGAAAACAATTTGCAAAACCAATTTCAATCCATGTACTTCATAAATTATTAAAGAATATAATTAAACCATTCAAACTCTACAATTTAATAGAGTACTCTAGAGTGAGTTAGAAGTCAAAATCAATCTCATGGAAAAAGATGTTAGGCAAAGCAGATTATTGAAAGATTTTAAAGATGCATCCAAACAAATGCTTGTCCTTTACCATTTGCCTTGTGGTGCTCTACAGGACATCGAATACTTAGTTAATTTTTGTAAATTATTACTATTATGAGTTATTGTCAAAACACAAAGATTTAGAAAATTGTTATAAAGGTGAAATGTGCATTGATGTAAAACTCAATAACGTTTTAGATTTTGAAAATATGTTAAAGTAAATTTTATATTAGAAAAGGACGACTAATGTATTTTATAAATGTACCATTATGTTCAGAGCAAGAATTTGAGTTGGTCTACATGGTAACAGTGCCCAGTACAATAAATAGTAACTTTTTAACTATCATCCCAAGGAACAAATACCCATTTAGATCCAAGACTCAAGAAATCATATACCTCAATGACATCTGTCTCAAACACAAAGCACGTTCTCAAACATTAATCAACAATCATACAAGTACATGCGAAGACTTGATTTTAAAAGGAACTACTATTTCCTGCAAATATACAAGACCGCATATTGACAGCAACCATTTGAATTACATCCCAGAAGTGAACCAAATCCTGGCGATCTTCCCAACGCCTGAACATATAAAATTTCTAAACAGAATAAGTGGAAACAAGAATTCTACAAGGCATACTTCTGATAAAAGCAACTAGCGGAAAACTCATATACACAGGAAAAACCTCTCATGTTCAAAACTTCAACCTATGGTAAACCAATGCAACAATCTCACCAGAGCAAACTACAGACTTCAGCATTAAATTGGAAAAATTCAACCTACCACAAATATATCTGAATCAAATCAACCAAATCAATTCAATTTTTATACATACTTTTACGTTATACATTTATACTTTACGTTATAATCCCTATAATAATAGTATTTATATTAATGTGAAAAAAATTGGTAATAAGCATCTAGAAGCATTAGAAATGTAAGGCAAATATTATGCATTCATTTAATAAAATAATTACTATTGTACATTATGTATTACGTTCAATTTTATAACGATAGTGTATATTGTAGTGACATTAAATTTATGCATAAAATAACAATTGTAAGACTCCCAGGGGAGATTTCTCTTGAGTAGGGAGGTGTTATATTAATATGTTACATTAATAATAATCTTATTAGTAACTTGTTAGTGTGCAGTAGATAGATATGCATAATAGCACTTTCTTCCCCTCTAATAATGCAATTAGGGGCATTGGTGGCCGCAACGGTTTAGGCGTTGACACGGCGCTCATCACTGTAAGGTAAAGGTCCCGGGTTCGAATTCAGCGGCCCTGCATTTGAACCCGACACTTACAAATGGTCTTTTTTTCAAAAACACCGGCACCCTGAGGGTTCATTTAAAGAAAAAAAATGTTCTCTCTCTCTCTCTTGATCTCAAGAGGCATCCTTATACAAGCTTAAGTCGAGAGAATATCGGCATGTTGTAAGAAAGATAAATAAACTTTTAAAAACTTTTTAAATTATAATATATAATATATATTCAATTATATATACTAATTATTGTTTGTTANTAAAAATATAATTATAATGTATAAATAAATATTGAAAATACTGCAGATAACTTTCGGTCAATTTGTGTTATTTGTTTGAAAATAACCACTATATTTTATTTGTATTTATTTATTTAATTAAATAAAAGTAACTGATGATTATTATGTGCCTTTCTATTCTATTCATAGGTGCTTGACTGCTTGGGATAAGGCCTCCTTTAGTCTATGGGATAAGGTGCTGGGCTCTTTTCAACAGTTTAATTTTTTGTCTACTATAATTTAAATTTAAATTTTAAAAGGTTCGAAAGATAAATTTCGTCCTTTCAGTCTGATAATTTTTGAACTACTTTCCCATTTACCTTATCAGTTAAGACTTTGGCCTCCCAACCAAAACACCAGTCAAGGTTCTCTGTTAATATAACTTCACCTAGCACTGTCTGAATAGAGGCAATTTCTCACATTTTATTTTTACCTCGGGCCAGAATGTCGTCTCTGAAACAGGTAAATATATATTTAACGTTGATTCTCTCGATTGGGTAAAAAAATATTATTGTTTTGACAGCTTTTCATGCATTTTTCGACCTTTTAAAATATGACGTTTTAATCTGAAGCAGTTATTTTTCAGTCATCCTTCAAATTTGTGACATCTAGTTTTTAATTTTTTCATTACAAATCTGTCCAATTAATCCATATAAATCAATTTTAAACCATATAAAAATATGTGACAGTACAATACAAATATTGACATTTGATTGGTAGATTTTAATCACATAGTTGATTAGACTTTATTAAAGGAAAGTTCCATGGTTTTCTCCAATTTTAAAACTATGCACGTGCATACAAAAATGATATGTAAAAAACTACTGTAATTTATTCGATCGTTTTGGGTTGCTTATCCTAGCTGCTTTGGTTTCTCAAAAGCAGCGTGTTAGTTAACTACTTAACGGTTCTAAAACTGACAAGGGCACTTTGGGATCAATCCAAAGACTGAACCGACTCTAAACTTAGGTAAATACGCTACTGTTTTCCAGTCTGAAATCATAGCGATTGAACAGTGCACCAGGGAAATAAAAAGATTAGGAATACATTCTCGGAAGATAGCCATCTTCTCTGATAATCAGGAAGCACCGAAGGCCTTATGCGAGGTGAAGGCAAAGAATGTTTGGAACTACATGGATATAAGCAAAGAAAAGATTGACATGGGCTCTCTAGGTCCCAAACCATACCGTGGCCTAGCAACTTGCCCCAAAAGTGGATAAATCGCCAGGTACACGAAGAGATTCATAGGACATAGAAAATACTGGAAGGGTTCTGGTTGGACACCTGACTGGACACTGCCGCCTAAAAGGCACATGTACTGAATAGAAGTACAGACAGAAGAAACACTGCGCAGATACTGCCAAGAAGAGGAGGAGATCACGGAACATATTATATGCTTTTGCAAAGGTCTATGCAGATGCAGATTTTGCAAATAGGAAAGAAAAAGCTGCAAGCAAAGTTTTACTAAGAAGCCGTCGGCAAGGCTATGGAGGCTGATTAACAACCCGAAGTTGGCCAGTTAGTTATAAAAAAAAACAGGAGCACAATATTTCTGGCTTTTCTGGTCACCTCTTTTATCCCTATATCTAGTTAACTATTTTGTAACTGTAACAAACCTATCAATCATCAAAACAATTTTGATATAGGCAGCATTTTACATTGGTCGTGATAGTTGATTTGTGTGTAGATGGATTTACGGATATGGACACTTATTGGGTCTATTCTTACATTCGGCTTTGCTAACTTCACTTCATCATAATGATGATGCCAAAAAATGATTGGCTGTAGTGTAAGAAACCAAGAATAAATGGACTCAGCAAAGTGAACAGGATTTAGGTTTCTGATCATTTTCGTTTGCCTGTGTTCATTGTTTTGATCTGTGGGTCAAGTTTTGGTCGTTTCTCTTGTTATTTTGTTCTCTCAGTGATGAATGAGTAGTTTAGTTGTTTTAGATCATTAAAGATGGTGAAAAACTGAATCGCATCTGACAGACCAAAACACCCAGACCTGTTTTGCAAGATGGTGAAAAATTGAATCGCATCTAAGAGACCAAAACACCAAGACCTGTATTGGAAGATGGTGAAAAATTGAATCGCACGTGAGAGACCAAAACACTGAGACATGTATTGGAAGATGGTTAAAAACACTGAAATGTGTCTAAGAGACCAAAACACCGAGAGCTTATCTGAAATGGTGAGAAAATGAAATGCATCCGAGAAAGTAAAACACCGAGATCTCTATCTGAAGATGGTGAGAATCTGGAACGTGTCTTTAAGACCAAAACATTGAGACCTGTATCTGAAGATGGTGAGAAACTGAAATGCATCTGAGAGACCAAAATACCAAGACCTGTATTTGAAGTTGGTGCTGAACTGGAACAGAATGGCAAAACCATGGTTGGTCTGGTTCTGTGGGCACGCAGGTCTAAAGAGATATGAAAAATAAAGACCGGAGGTCCCAACCTCCTGACCTGGCCACTACAATTCGGTCTACTGATAACTAAAAACATGATTAAAAAATATGATAAAAGATAGAAGGGTGGGATTTGCTATTAAGTACTAAAGGCTTTGTTAACATTTTTAGCCATTTTAAATCATGAATCGGTGATGATGGATCTTCTCACCCAACTCTAATTTTGTTACTGAACTGAATATTAAATAAATAAATTTATGTTGCTTATTTGTTTTAGTTTTTAAGTGGCCGAAATGGTATCAACATGGTCATGAGAACCATGTCAGCCGATGCCAAGTACCCGAATGGGATGAGTTTCGGTAGGTAAAAAATAGTTCCAAGGCACATCTTCACTTTTTATGCATATTCACTTCCAGGTTTGAATGAAACGCAGAAAGAATTCCAGGACCTGGCGAGAAAATTTGCACGAGAGGAAATCATCCCAGTTGCCGCTGAACACGACAGAACTGGAAAATTTCCATGGGACCTTGTCAAAAAGGCGCACAGTCTTGGACTTATGAATACCCACATCCCGCAAGAATATGGTACTTGTGAATCATTCTATTTTTTATATTTTTATTATTATTTTTTTTTATAAAATTAATTTTTATTTTTAATCTTGTATATTGAATATTTCTAGGAGGTATGGGCATGGGTGTTTTTGATGGTTGTCTTGTAGCTGAAGAACTTGCGTATGGTTGTACAGGAATTATGACAGCACTGGAAGCAAGTGGCCTAGGAGTAAGCACTAACAACAAATCAATAAGCCAAATATTCCAAACAGTTGAATAAAAAATGCACAATATTACAGCAAACACCAGTTCTAATTGCAGGAAATGAAGAGCAGAAGAAGAAATATCTTGGCCGGCTTGTCGAAGAACCTTTACTCGCTGTATGTATTCACTTTCAATTTTTTATATAAATTTTGAATAAATTTGTTAATTTTGTTAGGCCTATTGTGTGACTGAACCTGGCGCAGGGTCTGACGTGAATGGTGTAAAAACCAAGGCTGAGAAAAAAGGGGACGAGTGGATTGTCAACGGACAGAAAATGTGGATCACTAATGGCGGAGTGGCAAACTGGTATTTTTTAATTAATTATTATGTTTAATTAATTCATTCTCTAATGCTTTTTCCTCTGCGGATTTGTGTAAAGGTATTTCCTTTTGGCGAGAACACACCCAGATCCAAAAGCACCTGCTTCAAAAGCTTTCACAGGATTTATTGTCGAGAGGGACACCCCTGGGCTGACTCCTGGAAGAAAAGTAAACTACACTTTGTCTTATTACAAAATTAGCGAGCCTTGTTAACTTTCATTCTTCAGGAAATGAATATGGGCCAAAAAGCTTCCGATACTAGGGGGATAACTTTTGAAGATGTTAGGATCCCAAAAGAAAATGTTCTAATTGGTGAGGGCGCTGGATTTAAAATTGCTATGGAGACATTTGACAAGACAAGACCACCAGTAAGTTTTTAATTATTAAATTTTAATAATAAAGAGCTCATTGAAGATTTTAAAAAAATCAAGAAACTGACAAGTTAAAATTGAAAAAAATTGAAACTTTTGTCCTTTTTTTAATCAATTAAAAAAAAATTTAAAGGTAGCAGCTGGAGCAGTAGGTTTAGCTCAAAGGGCACTTGATGAGGCTGTGAAGTATTCACTCGAAAGGAAAACTTTTGGCGTACCGATTGCTACTCATCAAGTAAACAACTATACACATTTCAACAAATAATTCGGAAAATTAAATAAATTGCATTTCAGGCCGTATCATTCTTGCTCGCCGATATGGCAATCGGCGTCGAAACTGCAAGGCTCGCCTGGCAGAGATCCGCCTGGGAAGTCGACCAAGGGAGGAGGAACACTCTCCAGGCTTCCATCGCAAAATGTTATGCAGCCGACGTCGCCAATAAATGTGCCAGCGATGCTGTCCAGGTAAAAATATCGAATGTAGAATTGACAAGATTTGTTCTAAATACCAAATTGTATTAGGTTTTTGGCGGGAATGGTTTCAACAGTGAATACCCCGTCGAAAAGCTCATGCGAGATGCAAAAATCTACCAGATATACGAAGGCACCTCGCAGATTCAAAGACTTATCATTTCTCGCGCTATCATTGACCGAGCAAAACAACAATTATAAATATAGTTTGTTTTTTAGAGGAGATTGAAAAAAAGTAAATTTTTATGGTATAGATATGGGGATATTTTTTCGCATATTTTTAATCTTAATTATATTCTTTATGGTTTTATTTGTTAAATTTTAATTTTAGTTTTGTTTGCACCATTTTTTTCTACGATTTTTGTATGAATTAGACTGATTTTTGTGTGTGGAATTTTTAATTTTTGCTGATATGTACTTCGTATATTTTCGAATATTCTTCTGTATTTTCTTGTATAACGTACACATTAATATATAAAACTTATTTTTTTAGAATGGTGTTTTTAACTAATTCCATCCAAAAGAAATAGTTCATAAAGAAAGTGAACATGTTGCGTGGTAGGTGGAACAAAATGGTAAAAAATAAGAAAAGGTATAATTTTCACTTGGTGGCGTTGTAAATTGGGGGACATGATTCTGTATTAAGATATTTAATTTGGGGTGTAAAGGTGGCCATTCATGATCGCTCCAAATGGAACCGTGCCGAGCCATATAGTCATTTGGAGTGCCTGAAATATGAGGGGGCATTCACAACCTCTCCACAGCCAGTCGCTCCGATCGTCATCTAGTGGATGACGATCTCTTGTGCTATGCTCCTGTTTGTTTATATATAAAAAGCAAAACACCGAAGAGTAATGGTGTCAGAAGTGGCTCCTGAACAGAAGCCGTAATACCCACATCAATTTAGTGAAAGATCTTTCCCTTGAACCCACTGATTGGAAGAACTATTTAAGGATGGATGAAACGTCTTATTTATATTTACTTCAGCTTGCAACCCCCTTGATTGAAAGACAGTCATGAGAGATATCATCACTCCACATGAAAGGTTACAGCCACATTATTTCTCACTACAGGGATGAACTACGAAGAACTTAAGTTCGCTACTACGATTTCTGTTCAACACTTAGGGGTTATCAATACCACATCGCTCGCTGCATTTGTATCCTTTGTTTTGAAAAGGTCGACCAACTGGTAGAGGGCCGAATTTCTTTTATTTCTATTGTGGTAATCATTGTCCACCACTTTCCATAAACAGGGTAAACTTTTATACAATTCAATCACCTCAACAATAAACCAATAAAGAATAAACGTTTTTGACTTTTTGAGAATGTACAATGGAGATGTTTGCTCAATGACAGAAAGACGGAGACTGCGCCAATAAAAAGCGGGTTTTCCTATTCACGACAAGCCAGTGTGCCAATATTCCACCATTCACGCCAGGTATTCCCATTCACGAACGTGCCATGCCGTCATCACGCCATAGATGTTTGAAGTGGCGCGATGGAGTTTGGACCGGTTGAATATTCGGCACAGCTCAGCACCCAATTCAGTTTTGCCATTGACATGATTTTTGGAATGACGTTGCTCTGTTTGGACTGCTGGGGTGAATGGCCACCTAAATGTAAGGTTAAATGGAGTGAAGTGATCAGTGTCGATCAGTTCAACGTGATTCATCCACTTGCAGACCGACCAACACCAACGATGTTAATTAATTGTTCATAAAGAAAAAGGAACATTTTGCATCATAGGCTGAACGATACAGTAAAAATAAAAAAAGATAAAATTTTCAAATGGTGATATTGAAAATGGGCGGACATGATTGTTGCATGATGCCAATATTTAATATGAGCGTAATGTCAAAATAGATGGCTCAGTGAGTAAAGTGATCAGTGTTGATCAATTCAACATGAATTCATCCACTCACAGACTAACACCAACAAAGTGTAAGAAAAGTGAAATTTGTGCATATTATGAACAAAATGAAAAAAAAAAAAAAAGATATAATTTTCACTTGTTTGATGTTGTAAACTGGAGGACATGATTATTGAATGAAGCCGATATTTAATAAGAGTGCAATATAAGAATATTGACGATACCTGGTGAAGCGATCAATGTGTGTTATAAGTTGATGACATGAAGTCATCCAATCGCACACCATCCAATACCACCAAAGTTATCTTTTTGAATGCATATGTTGAACGAAATGTTAAAAAAATAAGAAAAGATGTAATTTTCTATGGTTAAAAATAGGAAAAGATATTTTTACTGGTGGACATGATTGTTGTACGGACCTGATATTTAATAAGAGACCTATAAGAATAATGAAGATACCCAGTGGTTAGTTGATGAACATGAAGTCATCTAATCACAGACCATCCAACAACACCAAATTGATTTTTTTGGATGGGTTTTATAAAAATTAATACTGGAGATAATTGTCAGCTGGTTGTGTTGTAAACTGGGGGACATGATAGTTAAATAATGCTAATATTTATTATGAGGTGTAATGTAAGGTTAAATGAACCCAGTGAAGTGATCAATGACGATCAGTTGAACATAGTGATTCATGCTCAGACCATCTACCACCAATGAAGTTAATTATTTGTCCATAAAGAAGAGTGAACATTTTGCATTGTAGGTTGAAGGAAATGGTTAAAAATAAGAAAAGATATCATTTTCAAATGGTGGTGTTGTAAACTGGGGGATATGATTGTTGTATGACCACATATGAGGGGCAATGTAAGGTTAAATGAACCCAGTGAAGTGATCGATGACAATCAGTTGAACATTTGGTTATCCACGCTCAGACCATCTAACACCAACAAAATTAATTTGTTGTCCATAAAGAAAAGTGAATATTTTGCATGGTAGGTGGAGCAAAACGGTAAAAAATAAGAAAAGGTATAATTTTCACTTGGTAGTGTTGTAAATTGGGGGCATGATTGCCGTATGAAGACGATATTTAATATGAGGTGTTATGTAAGGTTAAATGGAGTGAAGTGATCAGTGTCGATCAGTTCAACATGAATTCATTCACTCGCAGACCAATTAACACCGAAAAGTGAAATTTGTGCATGATATTATGAATGAAATGATGAAAAATAAGAAAATATATAATTTTCTCTTGGTGTTGTAAACTGGCGGACATGATTGTTGTACAAAGCTGATATTTAATAAAAGTGCAAATAAGAATAATGAAGATACCCGGTGAAGTGATCAGTGTCGGTCAGTTGATGAACATGAAGTCATCCAATCGCACACCTTCCAATACCACCAAAGTTATCTTTTTGAATGAGTATATTGAATGAAATGATAAAAAAAATGTAATTTTTTATGGTAAAAAATAGGAAAATATATAATTTTCACTTGATGGTGTTGTATACTGGGGGCCATGATTGTTACACGAAGCCAATATTTAATATGAGCGTAATGTCAAAATAGGTGGACCAGTGAAATGATCAATTTTATCAGTCAACAGCTAACACCAATAAAGTGAAATTTGTGCACGATATTATGAACGAAATGATAAAAAATAGGAAAAGATATAATTTTCGCTTGGTGTTGTATACTGGCGGACATGATCGTTGTATGAAACCGATATTTAACAAGAGTGCAGTACCCGAATAATAAAGATACCAACTAACACCAACAAAGTGAAAGAAAATTGAAATTTGTTCATGATATTATGAATGAAATGATAAAAAATAAGAAAAGATATAATTTTCACATGTTGGTGTTGTAAACTGGCGGACATGATTGTTGTACAAAGCTGATATTTAATATGAGCGTAATGTCAAAATAGATGGACCAGTGAAATGATCAATTTTATCAGTCACCAGCTAACACCAATAAAGTGAAAAAGTGAAATTTGTGCGCGATATTATGAACGAAATGATAAAAAAATAGGAAAAGATACAATTTTCGCTTGGTGTTGTATACTGGCGGACATGATTGTTGTATGAAACTGATATTTAACAAGAGTGCAATATCTGAATAATAAAGATACCAACTAAAACCAACAAAGTGAAAGAAAATTGAAATTTGTGCATGATATTATGAATGAAATGATAAAAAATAAGAAAAGATATAATTTTCACCTGTTGGTGTTGTAAACTGGCGGACATGATTGTTGTACAAAGCTGATATTTAATAAAAGTGCAATATAAGAATAATGAAGATACCCGGTGAAGTGATCAGTGTCGGTCAGTTGATGAACATGAAGTCATCCAATCGCACACCATCCAACAAGACCAAATTTTTTGGATGGGTTTTTGTAAAAATTATGAGTGGTGATTAATCGTCAACAGGTCGTGTTGTAAACTGGGGTAAGTGGTACTGTTTGGGCGCCAAGAGATAGCGCGGGAAGTTCTTGGCGGAGTGATTAGAGGATCGGCCATGTTTGTCAGTGGCACACGAGTCAAAACACTTTCCTTTATTAATTGAAAGTTTCCTCCCGATTCTCGTGGAAAGTGCCGTCCCGCGAGCCGACGGGGAGTCGAAAACCGTGGCCGACCGCGTTCCGTCTTCGTGTGGTGACCGTCGACTTCTTCTGGGCCGCCGCCCGTCCCTCGAGAACCGGCCCGTTGGCCATGTTTGCAGTTTTAACCTGTATCCGCCCAGGATCTGCCCGTCCTCGTTAACTCCAGTTCCAGATCGAGGGTCGACGTGCGTTGGCCCGGAGCCGGCGAAGCGAAGCCAAACGAGCCGCGAGGCGGAGATGATATCGTCTCAGACCCTCTGATTCCACCCCCGGCCGTCCTCCGTCGAGTGGGGCTCCACTGTTCAAGTGGCCTATAGACCTACATTTGTGGCACGTTCGATTTTCACCCCCCGCCCCGCCCCCGCAGAGACTTGTGGAGCCTTGGCATAGAAAAACCGACCCCTGTTTTCAAGGGCTTGCTCAGATCTCGGCTCCCGGTTTTCACGACCTTTCTTCCGGGAGGCGAAAAACAACGGAAAATGGGCGACGATGACATGACGGTGAGCCTGCCGACGAGCTCCGCTCAGGAGACCAACTCGGAAATCGAACAGATCAACACTCACGACACTGAAACTGAAGAGCTCCAAGTATCATTCGACAATAATTCTACAGGTGAGCCTTTACAAACTCTCTCACATTAAAACACAATAATTTCAATTACAACTACTTTTCATACATAGATTAAAACATAAAAATTTAAAATAAATACAAAAATATTGCAAACAAAAAATTGTAGCGTTTCCCAGCTAATTAGCAAGATAATATATATGTCATTTAAGTAGGTTATCCCATCTATCACTTTCCTCTCTCTCCCTCTTATCTACAACTTCCTCTCTCTTCTCGTCCTTATTCTCTCTTTCTTCTCTGTATATTTTTTTTCTCCCGCATTATATCAATCTCACCTATTACTTTCTTTCACAAACTCTCAATCTGTATCTCACTTTTTTCACTCTTTGCACCCTCATTTATCTCTATCCTGTCTTATCCCTCCCCCTATCTTTTTCTGACTGTCAGG